ATGCAGTGAGTGCAGTCGGCTTGTGATAACGTCTCGTTTACGATCACGCCGCGTTAGGATCGAAAATAAGGGAGTAACGTGATTGCCGATCGTTACAAATCAACTAGCGAGCAGAAAAATATATTTCGCAAAATACTTTCACGAAGACTGGAATTACTAACCATCCGTTCCCTCGGAATGACGAGTCAGCGCAGGTATGATCATGCAAATAAAATAATGCACTACGCTACGGGACATTAATGATGGCATAGCGTGTCTCACGAGTCGTGGAACGCGGTGCCAAGATCATGAAGGTAAAGTTGCTTTTACAGTAGAATCACCGACACGCGAAGTGGTTTGGTCGCACGTTCTTATATAGCGTGCTCCTTCGTCGGAGGAATTGACTAATTCCTCAACTTTTAAAATAGAAAGTCGACACGTGGCACAGGTTTCCTGATATGGCTTATAAATATGTTTATAAGATTACATTACAAGAGAATCCTCGGACAAACATCTGCAGTTATAACGTAAAGAAATGCAAACGCACGGGGTAGCACGAGAATTGATAATAAACCTCGCAATCTGTGGTGATAACTTGCGCGAATTGCAAGGTAAAATTTAAATGAATAAAGAGAAAATTTAAGAGAAAGTAAAGAAAGGCACGGAGCACGCAGGTAAATATGCGAGGAACGGGAGAAACGTGTCGAGTCGCTCGAATACTTGGCTCGTATTTGTCAGACTCGGGGATATTCGGTCGCGCGCTAAATGCAATATTAGAGATAATTATCAAATAGATGAGTTTCAGATAAGTTAATGAAAATGTGGTGCACAGTTAGTTACCAAAGAAACGGCAATTAAAAGTTTGCACGACGCATGTATATTAAGCGCGTTGCAGCTCATTCCGTATTCATGAACATCTCTTTAGCCTCGCTATGATATAGTTTTAAGTTCATCAGCCGATAGGGACGCGACGGAGTCGAGAACGAATTTGCCATACGACGCACTTGCATCGCGAACCATTATCCCACCGCCGAATCCCACGTGACGAGACAAGCGTTTGGCGAAAAGCGCCCGCGAGACGCACACATTCCTGATCGAATTCCTGATAAAGGCGTGTCCGAGCGCGTGCGAGCGAGCGAGCGGGGAATCAGTTTTTGTACTTTACGGCACTTGATCAATTATCTTTAATGAATACATGTTACAGCGCAGCGGCGCATGTACGCGTATACCTCGCGCGCATACACCGGTGCACGAGTTTAATCAAGATGACCGATTATTCAACGAGATACCGTTCGTGGATTATCTCGCAAATTACATTATTGGCGATAACGAGGCGCGTTTCTTTCGTACGAGGGAGCGTAATATGGAACACAGAATTCGTCACACACAGAGAGATTGAAAATTCGCCGATTGAAAAGTCTGGTGAAGCTTGCGCAGGAAAAATCGGAATTTCTTTTGCGGCAGGTTACGGCGAGCCTCCCAAGTCGGAGAGAATCAACGACGGCGAAGAAGATAGGGTGGGAAGTTACCAAGCGCGCCCGCGCCATATCCGCACACTCGGGCCTAGCTGGAATCGCATGCATGTAATAAGCGAAAACAATTGTACGTAATGGCGCTGAACCGGAGGTGCGATTCCATCAAGTGGCACGCGTGCTCGAAATAGTATCCGCGGCGAGCATGAATTATCACGCGAACTCTCCACTACGATCGCGGCGAAGCAGCTTCGACGAAGAAAACGCCGCGCTGATAGGGAGAAAGAGCGTTGCACTGTATCACACTAGTCTAGCGCTTTGTCTCTACCGCTCCCCTCTGTAAACCGCCCTGCGCAGGTCGCGCAGGTGTCTTTCACGATTTCGGTGTTTATTTACCGTTCGCCGCTTGTTGATCCGCTCTCGCCGTATAAATAAAACCCTATTGTATATATCGGAACGCGTAGCTGCAACCATGCCGAAAGAGAATTTTCCGCCACGGTCGAACGCGTGAGAATATCGCGAAGAGATTTTTGCTGCATGAGTGTGCACCCAGAACTAGTTCGACAAAATGGTGACAAAAAAACTATGCAGACGGGGAAAAAAGCAATATTGCGTACGTATCACGCTACGGGTGGTAAAGTGGACAATTCACCGGCGCATCGAAGCATGGAAAGTTACGGAAGAGCGGCGAAAACAAACAATTGCTTTCCGTAACAATGCGCCGATAAACTGCTTTGTATCTCATCGACGATTGCTTTGTGTTGTGTATTTGTATTACGCCGTGATATTTTCAGGCTTTTGTAATGACGACTTCTGAGTGTAATGCGGATAATGCGCGAACCGACCAGTCGCGCGATTCGCTCGCAATTCGACGCAAAGGTGGTCGCGCCGCTAAGTGAGCACCAATTAGGACGACTTGTTTATTTCTGGCTTCGTATGTGAGGAAACAAATATCTCGGCGATGCTGGTACGAACATTGAAACAGCAGTGCGATAATTTACTCGCTTACGTGACGACGAATGCTGCTGAGCAACTAGTTGGAGAAAGACTTGTTTGTTTTCGGTCAAGTAAGAAAAAATAAATATCTTTTCGGCGAGTACCAATGAGATATGCGGAGTAATAAAAAGTTGAAAGAATACGGTATAGAATACGTAGGTATTTGACGACCTTTGGGATAACAGAACAGCTAAATTGTACGTACTATTTATACGTCTCATTGCTTATGCAGATGTTGAAAAGGACGCTCATACATACTTTCAGGTTGCCTGCAGGAAACGTGAAGATCGAAGGAGTTATTCTGAACACAGCCGCACAGACATCATCCCCGCCCGATGGGAAAGGGAGTAGCTACTTGTGATATTTCGTCGGACGATGGATGCATGAGACACATCTTATTTGATCAATCTCAGAAATTACTATGGAAAACAATCTTGTTAACGGTAAATTCACGCTGTACCATCAATCGTTGCGACGTATATCTGACGCTATTTTGACGCGTCGTCTCGTATCGTCGTGTATCATATACGACTTCGTTTGTTAACAAAATATGTAATGCTTAGGGTGACTAAAAATTGAAACAAGACAGAGAAAAGCACGTTTCGGATTATTTTAGCTCCGTAACAGACTATCGAGCATTGTATACGGAAAAATAATTATATGCATCGTATAAGATTTTGATAAAATAAAAATATCTTAATTCATATTCACGTTATCAGATTAAGTCTATTGTGCATTATTATGTAAAGGGAGAGGAATACAAGATGATCTGCGGGCATATGCCCCAAATAAATTCTGGTGACGTACGTGTTATATTAACACGTTGTTCTGAAACTTTCATCGGTCAAATTGAAATTCTAAGTTGATTCTGATGTGAAAATGTTATCGGGTACATCTCGACAAGGCGCGTTAAAATTTTAATTACCTATTAGCGTATTTGATAATAGCCTGCAATTGTTCTATTTCATACTTAGACTGGATGTTTACCGAGTTGGAATAAAACGATCGTAAATGCACTCTTTGGCAATGTCGTAACGGCAATTTTATCAGGCTTCATGAAATACAATTTGTAATTTTCATAATTATGAATATCGTTGTACGAATGGCACATTAACGCGTGTCATTGACTGGCTGGTAATTGACGCTGATCGTTGTTATGTGCGCATTTCGTTGCTTTTCCTCTATATTTTCTAGATATTGTCGCGTTATTATCACCCGTCATTACAAAAGCCGTAATATGTCGATTTAAATACGCTCAATATTTTAATGAAACTTCTGTAATTGGGTTACGGATAATAGATGACATCCCAAACGAAATTGCACGACATGTAACAGTGTACTGATAAATGCTAAATATATGTCTGAAAATTCTCAATTATCATCTCGCAAGTGCGCATCGCCAGCGCGACGAGAGTGAAATTCCATAATTAAAATCCGGCTCGTGTAAAATGAATATCAAGACGCTTTAAAATTCGTCTGTGCTAAACAAGAAGCAGACGCGGAGTGAAATAAGATCGTTAGAACGATTACAAGGCAATGTAATTATTGCGAAAGTAATTACCATGCAAACTCGCTCTTTCTCGACTTTTTCGACAGGCATTCTCGTTAATCAGAATGAAAGTGGACTTGCGATTAAACAAGTTTTGTTTCTTGCCCTCTATCTTCATACAAATTAGAAGAAAATTCCAAGCGGTGATAACAAGCGCATTAGCAATCTCAATTCTCATAACGCGTTATAATTTTATGCGGTACGATAATCGCGTCAAAGGATTCAGCGCAAGGATGGCCTTTCAGTTCTTAATTCCGCAGTAACAATATGTTCACAATGTAGGTTAAATAATGTACGAAAAAATGAGCGAACGAGTTCAACGTCCTTTAGAGAAGGAGAAGAATTAAAGACGAAGTCTCGGAAACAGCATTCAATTTTTAATCTCGCGCGATGCCAATATTTCTTAACAGAAGATTTAAATTTCTCCCCAACGACAACGGTGGATCAAAAAACCGTCCCACTTTGGTAGTTTAGCAAATCTCAAGAAGCAAAAAAGAAAAAAGGGAAAAATAATAATACCGCATCGGCATTCGCACGTTCTGCACGAAGGGAGGACTTTGCCGAGGTCTTCGGGGCACGAGGAAGTTTCTTCTCGTCGTTTCTGAAGTTCTTTGAAAGAGGACGTAATCTCAAGCGGTACTTCTCCCCGCGTATGCATGCAAGCCCGCTCTCTCTCTCTCTCTCTCTCTCTCTCTCTCTCTCTCTCCCTCTCTCTCTCTCTCTCTAACTGTACATACTGTCTTCCTTTTCGCCAAATATGTACGCGCGAAATGCAATTGCGATGCGTTTGCGCTTCGTCGCTCTCGCGTTTGTGAATTGCGCTTGACTGTAAACAGATATCTCGTCTTGGTAGCGACCCCCCCCGTCGTCGTTTTGACCCTCGCCGGGCCGGGATGCGGAAGTGGCGGGACGCGCGAGGTAGCACGCAGGCGCCCGCGTGCTTGGCGGCAAAGTGGAACCGCGTCGCGACGCCCGGCGTTTACTCCTCAGTTGACGTAGCCGCGTCGTCGACGTAACAATATGCTCCCTGTTCTCGCGATCCCGGTGTTCTGCATCACGACATGGGCATCCGCGCTGAACGATCCGTCATCAGGTAAAGATCATCGAGCACCTAACGAGCCACAGGCACGTACCCCGCACTGCTACGCACCCACGCTACGCAACCACGCTACGACGGCACGAAAAATGCGCGACCAAATATCGCGATGCGTATAATATCCACGTGGTGAACCAGCCGCGCGTCCTGCCGCGGCCATTGCCGAAGGGCCTGCGACCGCGAGATGGGACTTTACATCCTCGGCATCTTCATCGTCGGCCGAGAGCGGCTCCGCGCGCTCGGGGAACTCGCGGTTGACGTTTCGCGGGAACCCCGCGGCCCCTGCTCGACGCGATCGTGATCCTCGCGAGCGAGGCACACGCGGAAGGGCTCCGGCTCGTTGCATTGTTTTACGACGCTGTTTCCGCAACGCGAGGTCCGCGTGCTCGCATTAACCGCGCACTCTGTCGCGGGGCTTTTCTCCCGCCGCCCCCGCGGAGCGGAATTTTACGGGCGGCTTTTACGATTGCGGTTTGTTTATTACGCGGATGATAAAAGTCAGTAGGTGATTACGGACCGGCAGTAATTTAAACGAACGAGATTGCCACGCTCGCGGCGCGCTCCTGTTCCACCACCAGCGGGTTTCCCGAACCGCTACGTCGTTCCGCGCCGCGCCGCGTCGCGCGCCACGCGGGGAGCTTTGCGGCGAGATCCCGCGGGAGAGATCGTACCGCGGGGTCGTAACGTGAATTTACGTTACCCGTTGATCGAGATCGCGCTCCGACACGCTGTCCGGGCGTAAAAATCCCCGACGACGGGCTCCGCGCTTAGTAGCCGCGGCTTTGTGTCCAGTTTCCTTCGTTCCTGACGCGGATCCTGCCGAATCGACGTTTGCAACGTCGGAGAGAGAGAAAGAGGAAAAGAGCGAGTCTCGTTGTTGTCTTTGTACTTCCCCCTTTTCCCCCGGGCAAATTCCCCTGCCCCACCCCCCCTCCCACCCCCGCTATCGACCGCGCGATCGCAGCTCTCGACTCACGACCGTCGCCGTGGCCGAGAGTAAACGAAAATAGGCGCATGCAAATGGAAACGCGGAAAGTCGGCATTGTGCCATCCATCGGTCTCTCTCTCTCTCTCTCTCTCTCTCTCTCTCCTCGCCACCCCCACGGCTTATTCTTTCCCCGCGACGTCTAGTCCGGGGGTGTCTGTCCTTTTTCTCGGTTGCGCCACGCCGTATCGCCGCTTATACGAATCGTGGCAGATATAAATTATCACGGCGGAAGTTAGTCCAACGAACTCTCCTTATCCTTTCGCGTGATAATAATTACTCTCTCTTTCTCGGCCGGTCGGCTGGGAAATGGGTTCTTTAGCCGTTGGACGGGACACTTCGTAGATCGTGCCGGAGATCGGCCGTTTATTCGCGCCCGCGCTATTATTCCTACGTCGCGGCCGGCGCGCCGAGACAAACGGCAGAAATTTCAAGGGAAGTAATCGCGAGAGACTTCCGGACGAGACGCGGCGTAGCGTCGCGGCGTGTCGGCACGTGGGGGGATACCCGCGGATTAGGAGCCACTGAAATACGTCGGCGCCATTACGCGCGCCTTGCGCTGTATTCGCGTGGGCTAATGACTTAGCGTCGAATTATCGCGCCGTCCGACCGAAGGCTCCGTAAATCCACTTGGCACGGCCCGACCGTTAATTGCCCGGCTCTTGCTGCCCGAATTAGTCCCGAATTAGTTGCGGGATTCGGCGCGATATGCTTCCGGCGACGACAACGATGGCGACGACGACGACGACGACGACAGTGACGACGACGACGATGACGACTATGAGCACGATAACAAGGACGATGATAATGACGAGGACGAGGGCGACGAGGACGAGAACGAACTATTTCCGAGGTTTTTAATCAGCGTGTTCGGGTCGCGTCACGTTGCTCCTCGATACTCGCGATAAGACGGTAATAAACGCTTGCCCCCTTAAATCTAGTCGTCACGTGAGTTACTTACGCCGGAATGCGCCTCTCGCAAAGAGAAAAGCCGCGTAGCAGCGCGCGCGCGCGCGCGCGCGCGCACGACCGCGATTTACGATTCTCAAAATTGTTACAACCCTAATTTATGCACGGCGCGCCGGAGTAAAGCTGTCGGCCCGTGCGAGTTTTTATCGCGAATAAAACAGATAATCTGGACGGCTGTGTTTTATGCATTTTGCGAATAAGTACGAGCATTCGAGCATTATTGCCGAGTGTGCGTTTCCGATTCCTTTAGACTAGCTACGAACGCAAGAAATTCCGTGTCGTTTCTCGCCGCGTGTCTCCCGAGTCGGCTACTTTCGTCCGGTGGCTCTAATTATCGACGTCTGATTAGATTCAAACTTTCTTCCGAAAAGTAGGTCTCCCTCTCGATCGATTCGCTCAAAAAAAGCGCACAGTGGACCACCAAGCATCGATCTGTAATTATTGAAAGCCGCGAAGTCGCGCTCATTAATCTCATCGAGACTTTATTTCGAGATGTTCTGTATAAATTAACAGATCGCATAAAAACTATCTTGCAGGTGACCCGATTCCCGAATTTACATGCTGTCGCTTCTAATCAATAGAGCGCCGAGTGATCGTAACAGTGTTCTCCACGAGACGAGTGAAATAAAAATTTGCCGATAAGAATAACGTTCCCGTCAGCATTGCTTACCTTCATTGCGTCCTTCATTTGCGCACGACAGTTTATCCACTCGATTTCCATTACAACCGCCGTGTGTGTTTTTAAATATCAACGTATCTGTCTCGCGCTGTCATTCGCGGAGAGAGTCACGTGAACTCGCACCCTAGCGCTTCGCGCTTTCGCGCCTGAGGAAATACAAGCGGATTCCCTTGGAGTGACGGGCTGCGTCCACCTTTGCGTGCGTACTCATCGCGCGTTTGTTGGCACGTCATTATTTAATCCGTGCGCGAGCGCGCGCGCTACGCGTCATTCTCGCCCCTGCGATCTGAATTGATTGTAAAGGTCTCGCACGATCCCGTAATCCGCTGAACGCGATGCACGCGGCGGAGCAATCCGGTAATGGAGAGGATGAATTAATCGCTGAGACAAGTGCTTCTTAAAAATTAAGCACCAGTTCGCTGACACTCACGAGGAGCAATTTGATTCGTTAAGTACATAACTCGGGGGATCGGCGGAGCAATTATCGCATATTTCGCATTTCGAGGTGACGGCTGACGGCGGTTGACTGACACACAGACTATATTTTATTCACAACTGTGGGGGGGAGCGGCTTAGTCTCGCGATAAATTCCTATCTTTACCGCCTTTAACTCTCTTTTATTAATAGCGCCGGCTTCCTGCCGCGTCTTGGCTGTTAATGACATATTTCTTCGAAATCCACGTCGATGTGTTATCAACGTCGGCATGATGATTACTCGAAATGAAATTTGAATCGCTTTTGTACATCCGACACCTTAAGACACACTTGGATTTATTAAAATCGGAGGAAATCGGATAAAAAGATCAGGCAAGAAATTCGGCGAAATATTCTTTCTCGCGTTAACTTCACCGAGTGAGCTTTGGCCCCCGTGGAAATTTAAAATTTAACTCGCAGCTGAATTATGAGAGATACAAGAGATTTTGCATCAAGAATTGATCACGATGATGTGTCGCTGTTGTTTCCCATTGACTTCTTTCTCACGGAAAACTCGATTAACAATGGGTATTAAAGGGGTATAATTAAATAACAATTACACGAGTACGAGGTGCGTTATCTTCTGAGCGTTCTGCCGCCGGTTCTGCCAGCGCGTTGAAAATATAAAATCTTCACGAAGATTAGCGACGCGCGGTACTTATTTTTGTAACGCTTCTTTATCTATTGTATTTTTTAAAGCGCCATTTTCCGTTTTAGTTCACGCGTTGAGGGTAATAATTCAACGACGCGTCGAACAACGCCGAGCGCATGACAAAATAAATAGCTCTCAGTTTTTTCATAAAAAAATTGCACATTTTTACGCGACTCTGCTTTACAATAACGAGCTTTAATAGCATATTTTAATAACCGAGGCGCGCGATGAGAGACGCGGCAGCACAGCGCAGATAAACGCGCCGTTCTCGACGTCTGCGAGGCTCCCCGGGTCGTATCTTCGCAAAATCTAGCCGAACTGTCTTCGCTAATAGTGCACCGCGCCGAGCAATTAATTGCGGGAGTCTGCGATTGGTAAATCGTGTGATATTTGCCGGTGTGATTTTGCGTTTGATTGCACCTAATTCGCAAACAGCCAACCACTGCCGCCCGGCGCACCCCTGCTGTGTATTTGCACGCGGAATCGGTATTAAACTAGCAATTCCGTGCTTCGCGCGCGTACCGAAATTTCCTAGCTAGCTAGTAGCGAAATGCGACGCGTACGGTAGATAAATATGCGTAGCCGACACGTACTCTTTGGCACATCCTAGTGGGGCGGTACGTATGCGGTTCTCAGCTTTTTGTCACACGCGTCGCCATTTCTCATGCATCCACCTCTGGCGTGAGCAAAGGGGAATGTATAATGACACGCGCGCACGCGGTCCACTGCACACGAGTACGTTGGCACTATTTGCGTTGCAATAGAAGTGCCTTCATGAGGCGACCATAAGTCGCCGAATTATACGTGTTTCTCACTGTACACATTTCAAGTAAAAACGCGCTCATTTTCGTCTAATATTCTCGCGCTTCTCCGCGGAATGTACGATATTTTATTCGACGGATTACAACAAGAGAACAGCTCTTTCTCTTCTCCTCCCCCTTCCCCCCGCCCTCTCTCTCTTTCTCTCTCTCTCTCTCTCTCTCTCTCTCGTTCTCCCTGACCCTCTTTGAAAATGCGGGCGGAACGTTGTAAGCGATACAGCTGTTTAAACTTCACGAATTATTTGCACTCATTTGAAAGTAACGTCGTGACGCCTCTCTCTTGAAACATCCCTCCCTAGCGGAGTAATATTTTTTGCTGAAGGGCTATACGCGCGCGCGCACAGATGCACACACACACACACACACACACACACACACACATATATACACACAGATGAATCTTATATAATATATTTC